GTGACCCCGGCCCGGGCATGACCCGCCATTCGACCCTGTTCGGACCTTCGGCCCGCTGCAAGAAAAAGGAAGGAAGCTCGTTAGAAGCCTGTCGCCCTGAAGGGGCACCTCGTGGGACGTGGTCGTGGGACGTCCTCGTGGACCGGGTCATCGGAGGTGCACGCCGTCGCCTGCGGCGGGCGGCAGGCGGCGGCGGACCCGCCGCTCGCGCGCCCTGGCGCGTGGTCGGCTCAACCGGCGTGCGGCCGGCGAGAGGCGTGCGGGCGGCGCCTCCCCCATCCTCGCCCGCCTCCTCCCCCTCGCCCGCCTCCTCCTCGCCCCTCTTCTTGCCTACCGAGGCCGCGTCCGCCAGGCGGAAGCTGTCGCCTCGCGCCACAGCAAGAGACACAGCACCCTCTGCAGGAGACGCCTCTACAAGAGACGCCTCTGCAAGAGACGCCTCCATCTTCTCCTCGCCCTCCATGTCCTCCTTGCCCTCCTTCTCCCCCTCCGCGTCGCTCCCCGCCGCCGCCGCGCCACAGCTCGCAGCCTCCCCATCCTCCTCCTCGCCCTCCTCCTGCAAGAGATCCGCCAAGCCGCCTGCGACAGAAGAGCCGGCCACCGACTCGGTGGCAGAGACCTGGCTGCTCACCTCGGCGGCGTCTGCGGCAGCCGAGGGGTCCGAGAGGGGATCCCGCTCTGCCTCGGCGGGGGCCTGCGCCACCGCCACCGGCGGCGGCGGCGTGGGGACGGCTGGCTGGCCGACTCGCTGCTGCTGCTCCGCAGGCTCCACGTCGGCGTCGGTCTCGAGGACGGTGCGGTCGAGGCGGGCGAAGTACTCCACCTGGCTGCGTATCCGTGCCGGCAGCTCGGCCTGCTCCTCCTCGACCTGCGGCGGCGCGATCGCCCTGGCGCCCGCGGTCTTCTTTGCCCGCTTTCGTGCCTTTTGCGGCTTCAGAGTGGCCGCCGCGACATTCTCTTTGGCCGCGGCGGGCCGGGACGCCTTGACGTCCGCCTGCCGCCGCTTGCGTCGCTCGAAGGTCCTCTGAAACAAGCGCGCGTGCCGAACGTCGTCCATGGAGGTCTGGATGCCGCGACGGGCGGCAGGGACACAGCCGACGCCGAGGAAAAAAGAAACACTTGGGGCAGCATTTCCTCATACCGTATCTTAGAACCGCTCACGCCGACACCGAGTCCCACATCGAGTCCCAAAGGTACGAATATCACGACACTCTGCTCTCTCGGGCCGTCGCGACCCGCGCGCGCTCGCAGTCTCGCACTCTCTCTCGCTGCTCGCGGCTCGCTCTGAGCTGCTCAATCTCGTGCGCGTGCGGTCGTCTCCGACGCTGGGCTCTAGCACCCCTCGGACCACCCGGGTGCTTCTGCCACGGGGGCGAGGGGTAGAAGAGACTGTGCCGGCATCGGCGCACTCACGACACGGCTCGATAGCCGCGCTGCAGCTGCCGCCGCATCAACCCTTTCGCCTTCTCCAAGCCCACCGCGTGCCGGTCGCCAGTCCAAATGTCGCCGAACATCGTGAACTTGCCCGGCGAGAATCTGTAGTGCGCCAGCGGCGAGGGCGGCGTCACGACCACCGCGCCCGGCGCCGGCGCCGGCGCCGTGGCCGCCACCGTGGCCGCCACCGCCGCCGTGACCGCCACCTCCGCCGCCTCCGCCGCCTCGATCTCCTCCGCGTCCATCTCCTCCTTCAGCAGCAGCGCCTCCTCCTCCTCCGCGCTCGGCTGGTGCTCGTCCACCGAGATGCAGCCGTTGCGCGTGATGAGCTTGCCGTCGCGCGTGAGCATCACCTACACCAAAAAAGCGGGGGATGCGTGACGGCCCCGTCGCGTGGGGGACGAGCGCGTCGTCGCGGCAACCTCGATGTAGCACGACGAGATCACACCCGCGCGACGGTACTTGTGCACGTCCCCCTCGGCGGTGCGGCAGACAGCGAGCGCAAAGTAGGCGAGGCCGCCCTCGATCGACGCGAGCATCTCCTCGTGCGCGACCGTGTGGCGGCAGCGCTCGAGTCGAGCCGCCTCGCACATGTCGGCGCGCAGCTTGGCCGCCAGCTCGGGCTGCTCAGCCTCCACGGCGGCGCGCACCGCCTCGCCCTCGCGGACCTTCTGGGTGAGCGGGCGCAGCATGCTGCTCGACGAGAGCGGCGGCACAGCGCGGACCAGTGAGAGCTGGTCGAGCGGCTTGCGGCTCACCGCGAGGCGGACCACGGCGCGCCCCGTATACCGCGTGCCGTCCAGGCAGCCGATCTTTTGGTTGCCCAGGAGTCGCCGCCAGACGGTGCAGTCCACTTTGTTTAAATAAATAAACAAAGTGCAATGGAAAATCCAAAATCCAAATCGCAAACATAGAAACCCAAACACACACAGCCACGTGGCATAGGAGAGCAGGAGGTGAAAGGAGGTCAGCACAAGTCCAAGGACGCACGAGCGAGAAGCACAGCAGAGCAGACAGATGACGATCACCACCCAGCGCACGACCGCCAACTCTCCGGCGCAGGCCGCGAAGAACCGAGTCCGGGGGCCGACGGTCGCGGCGCGCCGGCGCGGCGCAGTGGACGCAGCCCGGTTCGCAGCTTCGCGAGCTACGGGGGCGGCCACGGCACGGCCCGGTGGCCGCCCCCGCAATGAGGCCAAGCGGTGGGCATCCGGCAAAAGCCGCAAGACGGGATTCGCGAAGGCGCGGGCCACCTTCCGCGGCGGAGGCCGCGGTAGCGCGGCGGCTGCGGAGAGGCACGACAGCATGATGACAAAAGCACGCTGGCGGGGCACCGAGGCAATCGCAAGGGAGACCCCAGCGGGCTCTTTGTCGGTCGCATCGATGCCGCAACGCAAGGACTACACAAACGACGCCGAGCACCACGGCAAGTTCCAGGTGTGGCTCCAGGCAGGCAGCTTCGAAGGCAAGGCGCGTGATGGTGCGGCGGTGCGGGCAGAGCACGCCGCTCCCTTAGGCTCACACGTGTGGTTGTCTTTATAGGAGCGGCAGCAGCGGGTGAGCGCGCAGTACGAGAAGCGGGTGCTGGGCTTCGATGCGTGGCTTCAAAAGCAGGGGTATCCGTCCTTCTGCAAGGTGGTGATGGAAAACGGCCTCGCCAAGCTGGAGATCATCGTTGATGCGGTCACCGGGCTTCCGCGTGTGTTTGCGGTGGAGGCGTGGATTGAGTTCTGCATCGGCATGATGACCGGCGATGTGGAGAAGGGCGGATGCAGGGAGCTGCGAGCTAACACGGAGCTGTACGCCACGGCGCTCCATGGCCGCTCGCAGGCGGAGGTCCAGATGCCGCTCGAGAAGAAGGGGAAGTTTGGGTGGGGCCATACAAAGACGATCCCTTCAAGCTGCAGAGCATCCAGCAGTACGCGACGGCATTGCGCATTTGGGTCAAGGAGGAGCTGCGACGCTGGCCAGGCGTGAACGTGGCCAATCCGATGTACGACGGGTGGACTGCGGCTGTGATGAAGTACGTGCAGAGTGAGCTGCCCGTAGCGCGTGTGGAGAAGCGGCTGCCGCCGGCGCTGACGACTGGCGTCTTCAACGAGATGATCAAGCACATCGACCCGACGTCGCAACGCGAGATGTCAGCGGGGCTGTACCTAGAGGGGGGCACTGTCCATGGCGATCGGGCGCACGACTACTTCCTTCTCGATCGGAAAAACGTGCGCAAGCTTGCTCCGACCGACGACGACCCGGACCAGAAGCCGGGCGTGATGATCTCTCACGAGTCGACCAAGAACAACAAGCGGCGCGAGGAGCGGCACAAGGGGCTTGCCTGTCCCACGTGGTGCAACCAGGAGGTGGCATTTACGGAGGATGGCCAGCTTGACGCGAAGAAGATGTGCGGGGCGTGCCTGACCTACCACCTGCAGGACATGGTGGACAAGTCGCTCGCGGGCGCGACCGAGGAGACGCTCGCCAGCCTGCCCGTTTTTGTGGACATCAAGGAGGTGGCGGATCTGCCGGCGGGGAGCAACCTGGTGCGATGCGAGACTGCAGATCGGATCGGCACGCCGGGCGACTGCGTGTGCTTGCTGACGGCGGCGGAGTTGGCGGATGGCTACGGCTACGACGGCACCGTGCCGTTCGAGGTGGACGGCGAGGACGTCTTCCCGCCGCGGCGGGGCACGTATTTCGAGGTGCCCAAGTCAGGCAAGGCAATCCGTGCGTGGGCGCATTCGACAGGCGCGACACAGCAGCTTCGGAGACAGCTGCGGCTGACAAACAAGCGGGCTGGCCGCGAGGTTATGGCGCCGGATAAGATCAAGAAGGTGACGTCGAAGGTGATTCGGCGGCGGATGGCGACGCTCATCACGCGCACGCTCGGCATCGACGCGGCGGTGGCGATGGGCGAGTGGTCGAGCCGAAAGATGGCCAAGCTGTACATTGACGAGCTCGACATTTTCGGGTCCGGCGGGTGGACCGAGCAGGAGACGATTTTTGCGCTGAGCAGCAAGCTGGAGACCGATGCAGAGGCTAGGAAGGCCGCGGCGGTGGCGGCGACGATCGCCGAGGTGGATGCGGCGGAGACGGAGGCGGAGGCAGAGGCAGGGCCTTCCGCCATGGAGATCGAAACCGTGACGACGATCCCGGTGCCGGTGCCGGTGCCCGTGCCAGTGGTGCCAGTGCCGGTGTTGGCGACGCCGATGCCATCGGCGGCTGTGCCGGTGGCGATGCCGGTGGCGGTGTCGGTGGTGGCGCCGTCGGTTGTGGCGGCACCACCAGGAGCAGCAGGCGTGGCAGGGATGTCATTCGTGCCTGGGACGCAGGAGGAGGCATCTATTGCCGAGAGTGCTGTGGCGCACTTCTCGGAGCTTCTCCGTCGATGCCAAGCTGGAGAGCGGGCTACTGCGCAGTCGCGCCGCGAGTATGGGACGGCGCAGATCTCGGTCGCGGTGGCGAACAACAGGGCGAATCAGAACACGGTGTGCTGCGAGTTCAAGGGGCCAAACCCGTTGGTCAAGAGAGAGCTGGCCAAACACCCGCACGTCGGTGACCTGATTGACAGCATGGCGGCGAAGAGCGTGGTGGAGATTCAGAAGGTGCTGTGCACACACGGACTGCACACGTCGCTGCAGCAGATCAACACCTTTCGGCATGGGCGGTTCCAGGCGGCTGGGGGGCGCCAGGCCTTCATAGCCGCAAGGGCGTGATGTGTGTCCGAGTATGAGCGAGTCACGCAGGGAGAAGTCGAGAGTGTGGCTGTGGGTGAGGTTTTTTGGTGAAAAGTGATGGTAATTGTTTACAAGTACACAACACGAACTCAGCACGATTGGATAACCAACGCGTCTACGCTCACGATCGGGTGCGGTGCAGGGATACGGACCGGCGCTCAGAGAAAGATTGTGCGGGTGCAAGCCGAGCGGAGGAGCCGTGGCAGCAGCGAAGAGAGAGAGCAGCACATTCACTGAACAGAGCAGCCGAAGACAGTCACAACACTGACGAGCGGTGTCTCCAAGGCGGATGCGTCGCCGAAAGGAGATGCGGGAAGAGTCTGCACTGAGCGACAGCAACTTCGAAGCACGGCACATGCCGCACAGGGGGACGGCGCGTGAGGGAAGGTACCTTCCTAGACGTGAAGACGTGAAGAGAGACCGTCTTCACATGCACCCGGGGCCGGGGGTGAACATTGGGAGGACATAAGCAATAAATACAACGGACATCCCAAGCTAGGGCTGGGTCGAGGACAGACACGTCCCCACCTTTGCAGGATTTTGCAAAAGCGAGGGGGGAGGGCGCATAATAAAACGGGCGTTGCGTGAGACGGTGAATGGTAGACGCAAATAAAAACCACTTGACGAGATGGGATTTAGGGACATGTGTCCCCGCCCTGCACGATCTTGGTGTGAGGGATCTTCAATCCGTGTCCCCTCACCCCTCGTCACAACCCGACACGGAAGAGCGGCAAGAGTTAGGGCTGCGGCTACGGCTGCGGCTATGAGAGGGGCCGGGGTCGCGGGAGAGCCGCTGCGCCGCGTGGACGCGCCTACACCGCGCTTGCTCCGCTCGCCACCTCTCGCAAAGGTCCAAAGCCATAGCCACCACCTCCTCCGGCAAGTCCTTTCGCCGTATCTCGCCGTCCCTCCACGCCTGGAAGAGCTCGTCGTCATAGCCGTATTGCATCACAGCCTGCTGAACTGCGTCGTGTACGACCCCTGCCGTCCTATCCTGCGCCTCAGCGTCGGAAAAGTCGAACTCGGAGTCATACTCGGAAGCAGGGTGTGGTCGCAGTTCTTTTTTTTGAAGAATTCTTTTTATACAGGCTTGGTTCCTGGGAATCCTGCTCCCTGGCGTCGTCTTCCCTCGTCTCGCTTGCAATTTTTCCTATGCGTTAACTTATGGGAAGGTTACTGACCGCACTCCAAAGACCAAGTGCTCCAACGTGCAACGAGAGCATGCCACCAGACTCCAGAGACATTAGTCATTACACAGTACTTTAAATAAGTCCACCGCGCGCGGCCCTTCTCAGCGCACGAGCAGCTTGTCGAGGCCGAGCGGCTTGAGCAGCGAGTCGTAGATCTGCTTGTTGATGGCGCGGCCCGCCACCACCTGCGGCTCGTCGTCGCGCACCGGGCTGACCTGCCGCACTCGGTTGTTGCGCACGCCCAGCGCGCCGCTGCGCGCGAGCGCGTTGGCCGCCTCGATGCCGCTCACGTAGGCCCTCTCCTGGCACAGCCCCTTTGCGCCGTGCTCGAACTCGCCCATGCGCACCCAATCGCCGGCGCAGACCAGGTTCGGCACGCGCGTCTGCAGCGGCGGCCGCTTGTCGAACGATCCGGGCGAGAACCAGGAGACGGCGCCGGGGTAGCGGGCGACGAACGAGTCGACGACGTTCGCCCGCGAGAAGCCGGGCACGGCCGCGGGCAGCAGGTCCTCCATCAGCGTGGCGACGACGTCCTCGTCCGACAGACCCATGAGCGCTCCTGTGGGGGTCGGGGGGGGAGGGGCAGGTGAGACGTGCGCTGCATCTCTGGCCCGCTGGCAAGCCCATCCAGACGCGCCAGAGTTGTAAAAGTCGCATGCGACCACGGAGCCCTGCGGCTCGTCGCCGCCCCACAGCGCGCGCAGCGCCTCGTCGCCGCCGCCGTACGCCGGACCCTGCAGCTGGTCGAGCATGAAGAAAGTGCCGCCCGCGCCGCGCAGCGCCTCGAAGCGCGAAAACACGTTTGCGGGCGTGCGCGTCTCGACGGTGGTGTCGAGCCAGAGGCGGCAAGCTATCACGTCGATGCCGCCGAGCGAGGCCGCCTTGCAGAGCTCCGGCGCCGCGCGCGCCAGCTCGGGCGAGCCGCCCACCACGCCGCTCATCCCCTTTGAGCCGAGCGCGAGCACGCAGCCGTCCAGGCCGGTCAGCGCCTCGCTCCCTCCGCGGCTCGCGTAGCTCAGCCCGCTCACCTTGCCTGCGGCGTCCAGCTGCACGCTCTGCACGCGGCTGCCGCCCAGCACCGTCAGCGCGGGGGCCCCGCCCGCTCCGTCCGCCTCGCCGGCCCCGCTATCCTCCCCGCCGGACCCGCCGTCCGCCTCTCCGGCGGCCTCTCCGGCGGGCGGGAGAGTCTTTGCCAGGAGGGAGCGGGCGAGGGGAGCGATGAGCAGCTCGGAGATGGAGGGGTAGCGGATCCAGCGCACGTCGAAGGAGGTCTGGTGGGCGAGCGCGTAAAAGTAGAGCAGCTCCATCGCCACCGCCGCCGAGAGCTCCTCGGGTGGCTTGAAGAGGCCGATGAGCAGGGTCGGCTTGAGAAAGTCGCGGACGAAGCGCTCCGAGATGCCCATGCGGAGGAAGAGCTCGTGCGCGGTCATGCGGTCGTACGCGCGAAACGCCTCCTCGTCCCGCGTGAAGTCGATCGTCGCGTACAGCAGCCCGAGCACCGTCACCCGGTCAGGCACCGGGATCCGCTCGAAGAGCTGAAACGTCGCGAGGACCTGGCCGAGAGGCGAGGGCAGCTCGGGCAGCGGCGCGTCGGAGAAGGGGAGGTTCGTCGACGAGAAGACGGGCGCCGTCGCCTCGAGCCCGTCGGGCGAGTAGAAGGACGAGTTCGTGAAGGGCGTGAAGACATCCTCCTCCCGCAGCCCGAGCGACCGCGTGAGCGCCTCGATGTTGGGGTAGTCCTTCCAGAAGCCGCGGGTGCCGGCCTCGAACGGCTTGCCAGTCGGCGTGAGGTACGGAGTCTCCCCGGTCGGGTCGGGCAGAGAGTCGAGCAGCGTCACGCGGCAGCCATTCTCGACCAGCGTCTGTGCAGCGGCCCATCCACCCCATCCAGCGCCGACCACAGCGACATGCGGAGGCTCGCCGGCCGCCATCGCAGGCGGCCCGCCGCCGCGGGCGTGAGATGAGGAGGCGGGCGCACGCGGAGCGGCGACGAAAGTCTCGGCCAGGATGTGTAGGGAGAGCATCGGTCAGAGTTGGTTGTCTGTGCGGATGCGGCAAGCCGACCAGCGGGCAGTTTCCGGAACATTCCTTCTCCGCCGATAACGATTGGGGTGGGGGCCCCAACTCGTGAAAGGCCACTAGTTTCTCGAAGCCACTCACACGAGGACTCACCTCCATGACACTTCCATCTTCTCCCCGGACCTCGCAGCTCGCTGCGTGTGGTTTTATTTATCATGGACGCTATGGCGTCTAGGACGCGCCTGTCTTTCACCGCCTCGTTTAGCGAGCGCTCTGCATGGCAGCGTGCTCCTCTTTTGCTGACCGCCAGAGCGGCGGCAGCACAGATTTCTGACTCCCCGCTTCGCCTGTCCTCCTTAACCGTTTTCTGATTTGGGTCGACGCGAAGGCGCGCTCGGCGAACAGGGGATCGCAGGGCGGGGCGACAGTACGTGACGGGGTGCGCTCCGGGCTGTTGTTCCTAGCTCGCCACCTTGGGCTTCCCATTTCCATCGGGTCCGTGGTGGCGGAGGCCGCAGCGCCGCCGGGGAGGAAGTTGCGGCGCGAGCGCCGCTCGGGCTCTCTTCCTATCAAGGTCTACTGCCACTTCGAGGAGTTGGCCGCGTCTCCTGTCGACACGCCCGCTCGCTTCTTCGCCCGGTCGATCGTACTGGGGCTGTTCTCGAGTCTTCGAATGGTGGACATCCTCCGGGCGTGCATCGGTCCCCTCGAGGACCTGCAGTGCGTCATGCTCGTTACTTCCTTCTCCAAGGACGGCGCGCCGATCGACGTGTACCTTCCGGCGGAAGGCTTCCTTGGCGCGTGGGCATGGTGGCCCGAGCACCGAGCCGCCCTCCTGGGCCGGCCATACTTGCTGCCCGCCTTCGCGGCGCCGCGCGGCTACGCGGGAGACGTCCGCTACGCCTCCGACTTCCTCGTGGACGGCCGCGTCGCCCCCAAGGCGCACGCAGTCCGCTCGCTCTACGTGCTCTCGTCCGAGCCGCCGCTGCGCATGGGCCAAGAGCGGTGGTCGGAGCTCGGCTGCACGCCCCACTCGTCTCACGGCTCTCCAGCCGACATGGGGGCCGTCGTCTCTCACCACGCGCCGCCCGACATCGCCTTCACGCCTCAGGACGAAAACGAGATCTGCCATTGGCGTCGCCGCGCCCACGCCAATAGCGGCGACGGCGAGCTGACGCTCGAGGGCGCTATCGCGCATCTCGCTCCGCGGCGGCGCGGCCATGCGGGCGCTGCGCCGAGCGTCGCGGCCCCTCCGGCCGTCGCTGCTGACGACCAGAGCATGCGTGTTCGGTACACGGCGGGCGCCAACCGCGAGGGCCGACGCCGGGCGCAGCTTCGTGTGCGGCGTCGGTGGATTCTAGCCGTTCGCCGTGGTCTGGCGCGTTTCGGGCGGCCGTGGACCGATCTTCCTGGCGACCGCTCCGACTACGACATTCTCGTCGATCTTCCGGCGGCGCCGTAGCGCGCGGGCCTCGTCCCTCTCTCTCGTCGGGTCTCGTCCCGCGTCCCTGATGGGCTGTCGCGCACATCCGTCCCTCTCTTTCGTCTTCATTGGGTGTCGAGTCCCCTCTGCTCTCGCTCCTCCACTCTCTGCTTTGGGATGTTAGCGTGCTCTCGTACCGTGAGTACTCTCCATGTGTGGAGTCACGAGTCTCGTACGCATGACGGACCCTTTTACCATTCCAATGTATCCTCACTCGGATACTAGGATGTGTGAAGCGAGATAAACTAGTCCGCCGATAACGATTGGGGTGGGGGCCCCAACTCGTGAAAGGCCACTAGTTTCTCGAAGCCACTCACACGAGGACTCACCTCCATGACACTTCCATCTTCTCCCCGGACCTCGCAGCTCGCTGCGTGTGGTTTTATTTATCATGGACGCTATGGCGTCTAGGACGCGCCTGTCTTTCACCGCCTCGTTTAGCGAGCGCTCTGCATGGCAGCGTGCTCCTCTTTTGCTGACCGCCAGAGCGGCGGCAGCACAGATTTCTTTTCTCCCACCCACCCTCTCCAACGTGGGGTCGACTCGTACTACACAAGACTGCTCTCGTCGAATCTAATCCACAATCTCTCTCATCATGCGGCGGAGACGTGCCGCGATGATGTCGCCATGGCACCGCTTCGGCGCGCATGCGCACACCAGCCGGATTTGCTCCCCAGCCAACATGCGCTTGAGCACTCCTGCGAACGCATCCTCTCTCCGCTCTCGGGTGACCTCTCTCGCGCCCTCGTCGACCGCCAACGGCGGGCAGCGGCGCCCTGCAGCCTCACTGGCCGTCGCCCTCTCCTCTAGTATCTCTCGGTAGCCGTCTACGACCGCGTCCCTCTCTCTCTCTCCTCTCATCACCAGCGGGTTACCGAACGGCGAGCCCCGCTGGATGTCGACGTCGCTCGGGGAGCGCTGGCGGCGATGGTGCTTGTTCACCACCACCACCGACCTATGATCATTCTGCCGAGGTCACACGCGTCTCCCGGCGTGCCAACGCGCTGGGCGGCGCCATGCGTGCCCCTACTCTTCGTTAGCCGCGGGCGCCTCCGAGCGCTCCGCCGTCTTCTTCTTCATCTCGGGCGGGTGGCGGTACTCGTTGCACCTGCGCTGCCGGTACGCGTGGCACGCGCCGTCCTTCTTCCAGGCGGGGCAGATGGGCAAACCCTCCCACGATGGCTGGCGGGGCTTCTTCCCCCCCTTGCTCGCGGTGGGCTCCTTCGCGGCTTGCGCCACGTCCTTCTTCGGCGGCGCAGGCGCCTTTCGCTTGTCCTTGCGAGCCGCGATGAGCTCGGCGGAAGCCATCGTGGCGACTAGCGCCGCCGTCAGGCTTCCGCGCCGCGCCGAATGCTGCGCGATCAGCTCATTCCAGATGGACCTCGCATACTCCTCCTGCTGGCTCGGGGCCAGAGGCCCGAGCGCAGCGACGACGCGGTCTACCGCAAGGTCCGCAATCGACGAGTTCAGCGCCGGGGCACGCTTCTCCGTCTCGCCCGTGCTCGTGTCCATCACGTCGAGGGTCGCCTCGTCGCAGTCGGCGAGTGTGGCGTTCGCCGGCAGCGGGCCCGCGTATGCGATGGCCAGCGCGAGGAGGGCACTGATGAGGTCTCCCAGTGGCGATTCGCGCCCCTTGGCGACCTCTTGCTGCCGCCCCGCCGCCACCACCTTGGAGAGCTGCGGAAGGGGCGGCGGAGCCTCGCCGTTGTCATACGGCGAGAAGGCGACTACCATATCCTTGGACGGGAGGTGGTAGGCGTCGCGGGGAGCCGCCCGCTGGGCCTGCCACCAGACCCGCGCGGAGGCGAACTTCTCGAGGTCCTTCTCCTCCTTTGTACGGGATGGAGCGGGCATCGGGGCAGCCGGCGCCCTGCCTCCGCTCACCTCGGTTGGCGTCTGCGGGAGCGTCGTCGAGGAAGAGACCAGCAGGGCCCGCGCCTTCTCCTCCGCCTCGGCGAGGTTGCGGAGTTGCTTGATCAGCTGGCGAAGCTGGCCCTTCGCCCAGCTGCCGGTCCAATCGACCCCGTCAGATGTCACCTTCCAACCTCCCTCGGGCTCCTCGATGTCGCGGAGCTGGGTCAGGACGTCCTCAAGCCACGCGTTGGTGAGCTCTCCGCCCTCATCTTCGAGGGCGGAGAGCTGGCGAGCCGCCGTCTTGGGCTGATCCTCCGTCGTCAGCTCAGCGGCGCGCTCCGCGAGGATGGCGTACTCGGGCCGGGCACCGTCGCTGCCCATGAGGGCGATCTCGTTTCCCTTCTCTTGCGCCTTGGAGAGGGCGACGAGCTTCTCTGCGATGGTGGGCGGGTCGTCGTTGCCTGCCTGAGCCATGTTCCGAAGCGCAGCAAGCGTCACTTGTGGGCGTGTTGTGATAAGGAAGGTGGAGCGCCCTTTATTGAGGTCGTTCTCCGTCCCTCCTTGCTGGATTCTCCGGTCTGCTCTTTCGCCTCTGTTCTGACTTGTACCTCGTCTCAAGCTTCTGAGCTGCGTTGCGCAGGCCATCCCGCTTCTCTTTCTACGAGGAATTTCTTCTTTACGGCGCTTGTTCTATCACGCCGCCACGAAATTTGGTTCTCCGTCCAGGAGTCCTTGGCCTCTCCCAGCCAGCACGCCTGACGACTCTCGGGCAGCCATGCTGGCACAAGTTCGCGCCGAGCGCGAGCGCATGCGCTCCTCCAAGGTCTACACAAAGTCGCTCGCGATCCTGTCGGCGCTCGCGCTCTGTGTCGGCCACCGTCGGCCGACGGCAGCGGCCGAGCCTTGGGCTCTACAAGCCAAGGCGCGCATGCCTCATGATCCGGCCGATTTCCCAGCCGCTCGTGCTGTGGAGGTCGCCTCTCAGATATCTGAGGCTATGGGCATGGTTCACCCCCTCGACCAGCTTCACTCGTCCCTGCCGGATGACGTGCGGGCGGCGGCGGAGTGGTTGGTTGCGTCTGGCTCGAACGCTCACAACCTCCGAAAGGGGAGACTCTCCTCGATAGCGAAGGTTGCGTCTGATCTGCTCGGCTGGTCCACACACTTTGGTGGTTTCTCGCCAGCTCACCTTCGCGAAGCGAAGCCGCCTCTTCCTCATTATGCATTCGCGTCCTGTGTTGCGGACGCCATTGGATGGCCTGACGAGGGACTCTTTGAGGACCTAGTCCTTGGCGCCCCATGCGTCGGCGGCTGTCCAGACAGCGGTGTCTTTCGCGAGTACGAGCAGCCTGCCTCGGTGGCGATGGACGAGCTTGCACACGGCGACTGGAATCGCAAGGTCGCTGAGAGCCTCTTCGCTCTCCGTGGCAAACCCGAGAAGCGACCCGATCTAGTCGCTCTCTGGGATCGGACTCAGAAGGAGGTTACCGATGGTTGGGCGTCTCCCATCGGTTCTGTCGCTTCGATCGATGATGTCGCAGAGATCGACGGCCACCTCGGTGGTCGTGAGGCTTGGCGATGCTCGATGCGCTTTGGCGTATGGCAGAAAGGCAAGCTTCGACCGTGTGACAACTGTCGTGACAGCCTTCACAATGCTGCTACTTCCCTCTTTGAGCGGCTCGTCACGGACACGGCCGAC